TTAAAAACTGGCATTTTGAATGGAAATCATAACAAGAGAAATGGCCAAAGTTGCGAAGGAAAAAAACAGTTCCACGTTTTCGACTTAAAATCTCAATCTATAATTTTGTCGTAGCATTCATCAAGGTCCATTACACATACTCTGTACTTATGAGACTGTAGTGGAGACATAACATCATTTGATGTTTTTTCTTTGTTTTTGTAAATATAGACTTCTATAAGACAAGCTCAAGCTCACCTTGTTGAGATGTGTCCACTGTTAAAGCACAAAGGACTACTAGAAGTATTTTACAGTCCATCTCGATTCTTCTGCGCATCTTCGACAAATGTTGACAGTGTCTGCTGAAATTATAAAGCCAAAATTCTTTAGGTGGCATAACGGTCCAGTTTCCGTTTTTAATTCCGAGATTATTTGACGTTGAGGCAGTAAACCGTCACGAAATTTGAAATTTAATGCTAAGATAAGCTCTAAAATTACTGTAGTAAGCTAAGAAATACAAAAAGAAATACATCAAGGCAACGAATGACATCAACCCAAGAACGAATACTCTTCTATACCACGTGTCTACTTACAAACTACTATATCCAACACCTTACCTTGTTTACGGGAGCTTTGAGATGTGAGTCTTTCACTAACTGTTGCTTAAATTGRAACAAAAGGAGATTTTAAAAAGTTAGACCAACAAATGAACAATAAAACGTCGTTGTCAGATTCGTTTGCGTGACGTTAGCATGTGTGAATCACAGGTAGCAGTCAATCAAGAACTGTACGCAGCTGTGCAGCCACTAGTGTTGATTGGAGATATATTGGTTAAACAGGAAAAACACTCTAGTACTAAAATACTTTTGAAGTGAATTCTAAACCTACTTCAGGCGCGGCGAAGTGTGGTTTCAAAACATCTTTCAAGTTTTCAGTTTAGATAACACTGATAAATATCAAATGTCTATGTTTAGTAAATAGCTTCGAATGTAATGATGCTACTTAAGCTGAGGGTTTTAATCATTTCAGTTGGTATGTTTAAGGGWTTCAGTTTCCCATTTTTCTATTTTGAAATGAGATTTCCAATTTCCATWTTCTATCGATTATCTTGTTTTCTTTRCAATCAATGTTTTTTCACGTGTTTTTATTTTTTTATTTTTTTTTATTCATCGATAATGATGTTATGTTTTCGTCACACCGTGGTTGCTGCCGTTGTTGTTTTATATCTCGGTTGCTCCAATTATCTCAGTTAGTGGATACCACTTAAGCGTTCATCAACCGACACAACGCCTCGTGAATGGAATATAAATGTTTGTCGTCGGTCTCAATTTCTCAAACCAAGGTGCAGGTCTTTGAAATTTGAGTGCAGTGAATGTTGAATATAAATTAGCAAACTTCACCATTTCTTCAAGTTCCTCCCTCTACTATTTACTATGTCATTTGCTAGATTCATCAAGTCTTTCCTAARTTTTTATCACRATAGTTTTCGTCCGTGAAGTGGCCCGTACTATTTACCATTTGTCATTGGAAAACACGAGAAAAAGTGTTTTTCATAATAGCACACGTTTAAAAGGAAAGCTTGACCGGATATCCTTCAACGTGTTTTCGACAGCTACGCAATCTACCTTACATGTACCTATTTTTCTGTTAAGAACAAGGACGCTCTTACCTTCAAAGTAGCAACCAGCTTTGTTGTGGCTTCGACTTCTCTAGCTGATTGTCGTCCTTGAACTTGTTTTTCTCCCAAACAACCATATTATAAAGTMGAGCTTTTGTCATGAATTTTGTTTGTCTTTGCTAAGGCATTCAGGGTCATTTGCAGGTATTCAATTGTTTTCATTGAGCTACCTCTATTCAGGTTAAAAAGAGCCGTCTTCAAGCTCTTTTACCACCAGTTTTGATGTTTTGAAAAACATTTTCTCTTCAAAGTAAAGTCGGTTAAATAATTCCAAATAAATGAGAAGTTAAAGTGAGTACCTGTCATTTGCACTTCCCTATCCAAATATCATTCCCTGGTTCCGGSTCGGTCATCTGAATTTTCTGCGAGGTCGGAAATTAATTTTTTTTGAATTTATTTCCAAGGGTCTTCCTCCCTTTAACTTTCCTTTACTTCCATGTTATGTATTTGAATTTTCAGTTTTGGAAATTTCCATTGCTTGTTGATATATTTGTACAATTTCTTGCTCCTGCTCCTTAATCCATCCTTAATTTTTTTAAGAACAAAAAACATCGCTTACTTATCCATAAATTTTCACTCAACATAGTCTTCTAATTAAATCCCTACCCCCATAAGATTTCAAAATATTAAAACCTGAAAARTTAGGTCTCAAATGAAAAAAATTACGATCAAGATTTCGTTGGCTTGCTTTCTCAGTTTTTGTATCCTCTTTGTGTTATAATGGTCACCCAAATGACTATCTGAAACCACTTGAAAACTAGCCATTGTGACCCACTTGAAACTGAAGCCGTTACGCTTTGGAGGTAGTCAAGATAAATATCTTGTTTGCTTTGACTTATATCTCCAAATCACCAAACATTCATTTAAACTTTAATATTTTTTACATTTGGATCAATAAAGAAAAATGAAGTGAAAAAACAACACATTTTTACAATAAAAACTTTATAGGGAGGCAGGATTCCTGTCTCTCATGTGGCGGGGCACTTTTCCAATGAGAATACATGACTCCAAACCATCCCTGCTTCATTTTTCACTTATCCAACTTATTTCGGATAAATTTGGATGGGTAAAAAATGGTGCATACTTTTTAATGAGAAATAAACTATACTCAGCCATGTTGGATAGGCCTCAGAAATCATAATAATAAGTACCCAAGCATGAAATTGCCTTCTTCACTAGCTCAGAAAAGTAAAGCTTCCCATTTTACATGCTTTGGAAGATAATGATTTKGATAAGGTATTCCATGGGTTTCCATCTTAGACAAGAATCTCGTCTYGTGTGTGGAAACGGTTAAAAGTCTCCTTTCGCGGTTCATTGCGCTATTTCGAAWAGTACAGTAAAAACCTGCGAATAAGAACACGTGGATTGAGAACACCCAGGTCTGATTTTAGGAAATAAAGTACCATTCATATAAGAACACATTCAGCCTGAAAAATGAAAGTTGTTCTTATATGGAAAAGCATCAAAGATCAACAATTACTTTTCATTGCRYACATAATAGTTCCACCCCAATTATATGTAACAAATTATATGTAAACAAAATGAAAATATGTGCTGTTAYATTAATTTCATCTATTGGTRGCTTAGTATATTCCTTATTTTAAGAAACTTTTTTAAGAACACTTAACAACACTTACAGGCTGTTTTTGYAGATTATAACCCTTTATATAAGAACCARATCAGTCTGAACCGCYGAAAAAGGTGTTCTWATRTGCGGGGTTTTACTGTAGCCATGCCTCGCATCTAAACAAGGCGACCGGTGGTCAACTTGCGAAGCTTTTTACCTGTGCGCAATTTTCTATTGACGTGACAAAAGGTTTGTGCACTTTCACCGGTTGCTACACATAAGCCGCTGTTGCCTCTCAAAATGCTTCAGAGAAAAGCGCAGGATAACATGCTGGTATTTCATCAGCTGTTAATCTTTAAATTAGAAATCTTTTCCAGCCTAAATATCTTGATATTAAAGAGATTCAGCCGCAACGACGATGTTGAAAGGTCGTCTTCCTTATAACATTTCCAATGTTCCAATTGACACGTGACTTATGAAAATAATCACTTTCTAATTCGTAGAGAAATAACAAGTCATTTTTAGAATTTTATTTTGACATTGGAGAGCGTYCCACGTGCAGAAACTGAATGTATGTCTAGACACGTGACAACTGGAACATTGGAAATCTCCTTAGGTAGGTGAACAGCCTCTTCAAGGTCAACTGTATATATATCATTGACACTTTTCTCTATCGTTCTTGTGCTCATGCATGCACTGCTATATGTTTGAAGCTACAGGAATGAATACGTTTCAGTTATTTCTTGAACGTGCACATGCCGCTTTTAAAGTTGATGAAGATGTACACGGTCATTCCACCAAGAAAAAACAGCAAAACTCCACCTAGAACTTCGATTATGATCATCGTGCTGGTGAAAACTCTACATGCGCAGTCTCGTTGGATATCTTTATCATCTGTTGGATAAGAGAATTTCGTGAAAATCAATTACCAATCATGGCTCATGGTTATGGTTTATACCTCCCAAGGGGTTCGCAGGTCTAGAAGGGACTATGCTTGATCACCAAAGTAACGTTTAGCAATCCAACAATGGACCAGTGGAAAGTCATTGAAAATATTATTGTTTGTCTTCTGAACAACTTGAAAAAAATGGATTTTAATTAATGAAGTAGCTAGTGATAATATATTAACATACATAAAGCTCTGATGGTGTTGTATATGAAGTAGACTTAAGTCTATGTTTTAGTTATTGAAAGTCGTGGAAAAGTCAGTCATGAAAAAACATCATGGAAAGTCATGAAATTTCAAAAAAGTACTAAAACAATATAACATTCATCACCAGTAGATAGATATATGTAATATKAATTAACCAGTTTGGTTCTTGTGTTGATGAAGTGACAGCGTTTATACTCACATTTAGGATCTCTTTGTGTGGTTGGAATAACATTTTCAATCAAAAATGCACTGTTACACCTCATGCCAATGTGATTACTGGCACAACAAGTGTACATTCCCAAATCCTTTTTCGTCACATTGGCAACAGTCAACTTCACGCCAAGATGTTCTCCAGCCTTAATTGTCTTGTAATGAATCGGTTTAATCAGGGCAGTAGCCTTATTGTATTCATCAAGAGGCTTATTCTTGTAARACTTTGGAATTTTATGCCATTTGTGCCATTTGAAGACGGGTTGAGTTCCTTTCTCTATAACGATGCATCGCATTACAGCATCTTGGCCGAGTTGGACGCTAGTGTTTCTGGGAAGGTTTGGCTTTAAAATTGGAGGCGATGAAGGATTAACTGTGGACAAAAACATACTAATAAACACTCRGAAAGGGAAATACTGCTTAATTTGTGGATAAAAACAAAGATATAGATCATGGTTTCTAMAAGGATTCCTTCCAAAGTCATTCTTTYCACGGKAAGAAGCTAAATTGATGTTTTAGCATCAAACAAAAGTGGCAGACAAGCACATTCAATCGGGACATGACTACAATTTGTCAATAAAGTTATCATAGCTATTACGATAAATGGACACTTACTTTCGTCCAAGAATGCACTGTTACACCTCATGCCAATATGATTACTGGCACAACAAGTGTACATTCCNAAATCCTTTTTCGTCACTTTGGCAATAGTCAACTCAACTCCAAAATGCTCTCCGTGCTTAATTGTCTTGTACTGAATCGGGCTAATCAGGGTAAACAATGACTCGTGTTGGCTGAGATTCACTTTTTTGTACGACTTTGGAATTTTATGCCATTTAAGCCATCTAAAATCAGGTTGAGTTCCGCTGACCACAACGATGCACCGCATCACTGCTTGTTTTCCTAGTTGGACGCTGGTGTTTCTGGGAAGGTGTGGATTTAAAATTGGTGGTGATCGGGGCTTTGCTGTGGGRAAAAATATACATATAGAAACTTAAATTGAAATGCAGCTCSAGAGTCTTCGCAGAAAGTTAATGAGTAAATCCACTAGAAAAATTCCTTCAAAAAATCCTGTGAGCTTTGACTTCTGTKCWCACCCCTCCCCTCCTAAKGGAATTATCGGGGGTTGGGGATGGGAGCGGATAATCACATCAACATTCAATCACATTCAACCGAGTACGAACAAGAATTCGTGTCTAAGACCTACCAACAACGTGGAGGGTGTAGGTGTGGTTGATAGACCCATACTTGTTCGATACAATRCAGGTRTATYTKCCAKTATCGCTTGGTATGAGATCTTTTAATTTKAAATACCATAAAGTATCATTCATATAAGGGTCCAGTCTCCTTRGTTTCATCTTTTTGCCATCTTTAAGCCAGCGGTATTTKATTGGCTTTGCTCCTGTTGCTTGACAACGCAAGCGAATAGAATGTGACGCTGGCCAAGCGATGAAACTTCTCTGCATTTTGRGCCAGTCGACGAACTGTAATTTCTTCGTTCCTAGAAATTGAAGAGAAAGAGATGAGATGAAAGAAAGTTGTACATTTTTAATGAATTAATGACTACTATGAATAAATTAATCGATCAAGTCAATCAATCTTATTATTACAAGCAGCTCTTCTATAAATGATTGCTTCTCATTTTTTATGTATTCATTTAATTACTTGATTTTTTTTATTTTTCTTCRTCACGTGATTGCTTGGAGTATAGCWAATATTTCCGTTCCGTTTATTTTTATCTTTTTACGATAATGCTTATTTCAGACATTTCCGGCAAAARCAGTCTTTCCATTTACTAATATTTCAAGCATTTCCTTCTAATGACGTTTTCTATTTCATCCGTCAAGGTTATTTACCAAGCTTTTCTCGTTTGTCTATTTACGTATTGCGTCGCTTCCATATCGTCTGCCAGTTCAAAGACACCCTGAGATCAAATGGAGTTTCATTCACCTTCATGGAGAAATTCCTTTAATCATAGTCTTAGATGATATCGCAGTAAAAATACTTAAATCGTGTAAGAAGCTTGATTATGGGAGGTATCTTTGCGKGCTAGACAACGTTTTTACAAGATTTCCTGGTCGATAAAGCTGCATTGGAGCATTTTTATTTTTTTATTACGTTTTACATTGAAAGATTAATAATTGAAGAGTATAAAATCAAGGACTCCAAGAAGAAAGCGCGCGTTTTCGAGTAGAATCTGTTCTATTGATTTCTACATTAATAGTTGCAGAGCGGCGGTAAACATACCTTGTCTCTGTCGTTTTGCAGCATCAGATGCAGTCACACTTATCACTATCAGTATCATGAACGTCCATTTTGTCTCAATGAACAGCATCTCGATCTCCGGTGGGATTACTGCCTAAACGCTCTATTTCCAAGYTGAGCCAGTAGGTGAGAATCAGTGGCTATGTATATAGTCGCTTACTGACAGAAATTTAATCTTGTATTGTAACAAAAACTCCAGTTGTTTCAAATAGGAAGGAAGTTCAGATGACCTCCAATAATGTATATATATTTTTTYCTGTTGTATGCTAGGCGCTAACACATATGAGGTCAAGGCCATAAATGAAATCAAACGGGATTGACTTGCTTTTGACTKTGGGATTGCTGGGRAAAAATGGGCAAGAAGTAAAGGATTCGTTTCATTATGAGCTGTTTTACGGTCGCGGTATGGGCGAAATCAGCTTGGAAATAGATTGTGTTCAATCGGTGGATGTTGAATATTTTYCCTATTTTTCCAGTTTGGGTTTRAAGGCTTTTCAAAGTCTTGCCCGTTTTGATAAGTATATGGGGACCGCACGGCACTATGATAAACAWCATAGAGAAATAAAGGAAAGGAATAGTGCTTAGAAGGAGGTTATTCCGGGCGAAAGACCGTTGGAAATAAATTCGGGGTCGGAAATTTATTTTCGCCCAAAATAACTTCCTTCTAAACACTATAACGTTTTGATAAGTCTTCGTTTTAGTCACCTTTTGACCGATTGGTACAAACTTCTAGGCCAAGAGAAAGAAAAGGAGKAAAAAACAAATTCCCTTTTTCCGGCTTTTATTCTCTTAAGTTATTCTGAATACAGAGACAAATTTGTCCAACTTCAAGTACACAATAAGGTATATATATATATACATAACAGGTGAATATGGCTTGAWAAGAAAACTTTCGTTCACCTAATCCTACAGTTTTAGATACTTTGGGCTTCCTGTGATTAGTACTTGTTCCACCTCCCCAAAAGTCTCCAAAGGAAGCCCAGCACATATAGTATATGACATACTAGAAACTACCATCTTGGTAAGATAGCTGCAGCTTTAGGCTGCATTAATACAATAATTGAACATCTTTTTTATCCCTTTTAACAACGTTCCTGCGATGCATCGCGTCTATCAATGCCTATGCATTTGGTTCGTTCCGCAGTGAGGTTTCACCCCTTTTGTGTGTTCACTAAACGGTTTCAATCAAAACAGCCTCATTTATAATTTCCTTTCTCTTGTGATGGTAATGAAACCATAATGTAAATGCTGCCAGGAGAAACACAACTCCAGCTACTGTGCCAATAAASGTACTCAGAGGAACTTGAGGTTCTGGGGATTCGTTGGATGAACTGCTAGACAATTTGACGTTGTTGGCCTCGGCTCCGGCACCTGCAGCAGAAAGAAAAGTACTTCAGTTGTTGAAATAATGGGAATGTTAATCTGCATAATGAGGATGTTTTTTCTTAGAAATACCTTTTGATGGTCGGTCTGTTGTTTTGTGTCTTATTGCCGTTTCTGTTGTGGTTTTGATATCTGTTGAACAATTATATTTGATTATAGAAATTTTATTTTAAATTATTTTCATTTCAAAAATTTTCATTACATTGTGATTTTCCTCACGTCAAGCAAAATCCTTCACTTTGCGGAGCATGCTCTCAAATTTCCCTCTTTAAAAATTCTACTCTTAGTTCGTTCCGGGATTTTTTGGAAGCCGAAAGCCTGCTCTTGGTCCTTACTCCATCGGAAGAGCAAGCAACATAAGGTGATCTTAGGCAAAATATTGTTATTTTTTCGCAACAACACAACACAACATAACATAATGCAACACAACACAACGCAACACAACGCAACACAATACAACACAACGCAACAAAAACAATAGGATGGGGAAGGACCCTCCAGAATAGGTATTGGCTCTTCTAATCCTGTCCGCGGAAGTTTTTTTATCTGTTATAGGAGGAATTACCTTTGGGAGTGACAGTTGCGACATTGTGCCTCTTGCGTTCCTTCTTGATCAAATACGCACTCCTGTAGTCCCTCCCTAAGTGGTTACTGGCAATACACGTGTACAAACCAAAGTCTTTATTGGTGACGTTTTTTAAGTTCAGCACTACGCCATGTTGTCCCTTGTTTCCTATGTCTATCGTAGAATAATGAATGGGRTCRATRACTGTGAAGTGTCCATTCTTGAGATCCAGTGGCTTTTCAAGGTTTAGGGGAGCTGTTTTCCAGTGGATCCATCTAAAGTCAGGTAGACTACCGCTTAGAGCCACGACGCATTTAAGTCTTACATTACTGTGCCTTAAAGTGGTTGTGTTCTTTGGGTAACCGCAGTTTAGGATTGGACGAGATCTTGCTTTTGCTATGTGAAAACAATRGTTTTGGGTCATTAGACTTTGGACTGACCAGGTTTTTAATGGGTTCCGGGTTCAGGTCAGTGCAGTTTCCGGGATAACATGATATTGAAAAAAWTTCTTTTAGCTGATATAGATATTRTAGAAAACGACRTGCGGAGATTGTGTACAACTGAAARTTCGRTCCTACCATTCCACTGTCACCGATGTATTGGAAAKCCTTTTTTTCAAAGTAATATTTCTATATTATTAGTCAAACTTACAAACAACGTGTAGCGTRTAGGTGTGGTTCACTTTYCCATACGGATTCCATACGATGCAAGTATAATCTCCTGTATCGGATGGTACGAGATCCCGTATACGGAGGAACCATTGGTCGGTCTTTAACAATGGCTGCAGTCTTCGATTCACGATGGGCTTCCCGTCTTTTAGCCAGCGAAACTGYAATGGTGCTGAACCGTTAGCTTTACATCTTAATTTGATGCTGTGCAACGCCGGCCATGCTATGAAGGAGCCTCTCATTTTACGGTGTTGGAGGAGATATGGTGGTTCTGAAATGAATAAAAATCGAGAATAAGAAAWTTGGCCTATTTAATATAAAATATGTTTAATTCTCATTTGCATCACATACGAAAATTCGCCATCTTTGATTTTGAGCCAATCAGAAAGCAGCTTTTAGCAAGGGATTATTATTTGTAAAACAAAAAGAAACGGTCGCAAAGGCTCTCGGACGCACGTGACTTTTAAGTGTTCAAAATTAAAAAAAAATAATAAAATAAACTTTAAAAAATTAAAACATTGACATGTCGTGACATTTTATCTTGTTTCTTTCACCAAATTATAAAGGCTAAATAGCTGACTTTAGATATTTTGGTTAAGTGGCCATGCACAAAAGAATTGCAGACGAGACTCGGGGGAAATAAAAGAATAAATCAAGATTATCCATTGTTTTCCTGGACCCTAGCTCGTGTGCGTTCTGTGTACACAGTCATCGAACCAAAATATCTAAAGTTGACTATTCTTAGGTAGTTTTGGCACAGCTAGGAAAGTCAATTAGTCTTCTCCTATCGTGTAAATCCTCCCATCAGAAAGATCGAGATCTAGCATCATGTGGCATTCATGGACATTGTAAAAATAGATGTGTTGTGATAGGGGCCCAGAGAAACTACTATACATCGTGTTAAAAAGAAGAAAGAAAAGAAAGTAGCAAGCATATTTTGATTTCGGTAGAAGTATAACAGTTCTTATTTGAGCGAGAGTTAAATCAATGATTTTTGTTTTTGTTGATGTTCCTTTGACCGGGTTTCCTGTGTTGAAAGTTCAACGTTCATACTGCTTTGTAAAGAATCACGAAAAAYTTTGCATTTCATTTAAAAATAACAAGTGAATGAAAATCTTTATTAATATGTACATTTATGGCGCTTTTGGATATTTTTTTTTTGAAAAAATAGGCCATGGTTGAATTTTTGCGTATCTAATGACAGTGCACATTTAGAGATATTCCAGTGACATTTTCTCCTTTCTGCTGAACTTTTAAWGTTCGCTCACTAAAAATGTGAATTCACGTTGAATCAGCTAGTCGCGTGCATTGCAAATTGAAAGCCCTGAGGGCTGTCACTTGAGCAGTTTCTCCACGTCAATCATTCTCTTGTGCCTCTCAGAATGAATCTGTTATTTTGCACGTTAGTATCGTAATCCTGTCATCTCAGGAGACAGTTGGACGAACTCCGAAACTCGGTGATTGCTTAGCTGGAGAGAAAACTCAACGTGCACTCTATGTGAGGGACTAGCTGTTTTGTAACTGTAGCGACCAAATCAGCTAAGGTTCGATGGATTAAATGTCCAGTCCAGTGAGTTTTAAGAGTATATACGATAGACACTAATAGTAATACGTGAATGCACTCTTACTATTCTGTTTGCGATCTATAACTAAAGGAAGTAACCCTAAACGTARCCACATGCGGAATCTCTTTTATTTGCGGCGTTTACGTGCACGTGTACGCAAATAGTATTACCGCGAAAGRATCTGTGAACAGTCAATAAAGGGCTGAGTGCTGAAAGGTCGGCAATCCTCTTAAATTTTCGATCATTGGAATCGAAAATCATCWTTTCTATTATAATCTACTGTTTCTAAATGCTTGAGTAGGAATAATTTAGTGGTTGATACCTTGAGTGTTATGTAACTGAAATAGTTTTACTACAAGGACGCTATCTTCAGCCGGGTATGAACCTCGTTATATCTCAGAACGTTTTTTTGCTCAAGTGCCCTTGCAAACATTTCCTGCTCAAAGACAAAGCTTAGAAAAATTTAAAAGAAAATCCTTTAAGTAACATCTTGATCTTCAATTAAGTCGAACAAAATTAATGTCCAAATAAAAGTACTACAAAAAAGGTACCACAATCTAGGAACGTGATGTATTTTACCCGGGGTTACTAACGGTGGACACCGACGAGGCCTAATGTAATTACTGAGGGCAAACGCGTGCTACATTAAGAGGCGAACATCATACGCATATTGCTTTAAATCATGGAGAGTATTTCCGTTTTTCCATAAGARATTTCCAACTGCTCAGGAAATGCCCGCAAAGTGTTTATCCCTACCTCCTTCAAAGTATTGAGTTGTGTATCTCACAAGGCCCCTACTTGTACCCCATTACACTTCGGTTACGTCATCGCTCAAGACGCAGCGCGCTAAAACCAACTGCTAGAAATATATATCCAGTTTAGTTAAACCGTTCAACTTCAACAGGGTTTATTTTGACTTTCGTCCATTCGTTTCCTRCTATTGAGGGTAATTTCTGATTCTTTCCCGAGGGCGTGGCTCGAAGCCAAACACTTCTGTTTATTGTTTTCCGAAACACCCTCTGAAAAGCCCAAATATGTTTTAACAATTTGTGTTGACATGATGCGATGTCAACAGAATCGTATGTGTTTCACGATGTCATTCGAAAACGAGCCAARCAAAGCGTGTTTTGAAAAATAAATCAAACCTTACACTCTAAATCTCCCTTTTCAAAAGAATCTCCGATTTTTCACTTTTAGTGTGTGCTTTTCTTTCACGTTTTCACGTTTAAAACCAATTTCTGTGTCTCTGTATTTAATATTATGGTTAAACCATGGCCTAAATGTTATTAAACATATCTTTAACTGTGCAATTCAATGACAAGGGAGGTTGACGACGTACATATGAGTGAGCAGGAGGCCATGGATTCGGGAAAAGCAAACAAAGAACTTATAAAAATCAACAATGGAGCGAGGAGATTTCCGCAAAGAATGACGTTAAGGTATGCTCGTTAAGCCTGAACACCCGCTGTTTGAGATGTTTTTATTAATTAAAGTCAACCGTGCATCAGCAAAGAAACGGAGATGAATACTTCCACTTTCTAACGGATGTTTATTCACGTAGTAGAAATGTGGGCACTTGTATTCGTCAATTGCTCGAGATTCCACTTCTCGTTGTCAATTAAGATCTGCATTGACATTTCACCACTTAGAGCCCTGGAAAATCTCACTAACTTATCTGTGCATTATTTYGCTTCTTCTTTAYTAAGATTCGAGTCTTTTGAGTTCAATTATTTTGGACAATGAGGATATTTTATATATTAATTGTTTTAAGTCGCTATGTTGTGAACGAGCTGTGTACAATCTGTAGAACAATTGACAATGGTGTTTCATCACCCTGTTCAAATGTTTCTGTCGCCGCTATCTCGACAAGTCCGATAGTCCTATGTATGGACGTGTGACAGTATTCATCTGTGGTTATTACAAAGTATGTCATTAACAAGACACTGATTGTTCTTGCTCATTAACAAACAACCTCAAAACTTCTTTTCTATTATCAATGTTCAGTCTATATTCTGCCATAGGTGCTAAACAACTATAAAACAGTTTCGCGCCATTTTTTYTATTCACAAACGTTAAGAAAAACGATGTTTAGATTTCTAAGGTCTTCTGTGATGACCTATCTTTCTCTTTTACAACTATCATCACCATCCCGGGGAGATATCATTACGCGTGTCGACCAAAACGACACGATGTTAGCAAAATACCGTACTAAAAACTCATTGTTCTTCCATAACAATAGCCTGCATTTTTTGCGTCATTCGAGGCTATTTTAGACCTTTCTTTACGCTGTTTCTGGGTATATTTTAGCAATACTACGTCCTTTCATTTGGCTTTGATCAGCCGGAGCATCCGGTAAACTCCACGAGGTGCCTCCGAATACATAGGGAAGTACGTTTTCTGTGGAGGACTACACTGAGACCTCGTGCAGAGTTTGAGCCAGTAGGCAATTTATCTAGCAAAATTGTATACAATAACGTTGTATCGTGCAGTAGCGGTATTCATTAAAATAAACTATCTACGTTAATTGCGAACAACGGAGGGAAATTCCTAAAAGATGTAAAAAAATAACTCTTACCTTTTGAAGAAGTAATCATTGTAATAAAAGACATAAGGAGGATCAGTGCTGTAACTTCTCGGAGCTCCATAGCGGACTAGCTACTGAGGCTTGTGTTCCTCCAAATCCTCTCTGTGGAAGTATTTATGTATGTGTATATATAGTTTAGTGGCTTGCGTTCAATTAAAATAGCAAGTGCAACTCATTGGGATAGAATGGCGCCCGAGCGACTGCTGGGCCTGCTTTTATCGTTCGAAAAGCTGCAATTTGGGGCTGTGATTGGTCAATTGGAAGATACTTTGGATCCTTTAATTTCCTTKGGGGGGTTTAACAGATTGTATCAATTTGCGCAAATAAATACTGTGGATTGATCAGGAAATCGCAGCGAACTCATGCAACTCGACGGTGTTAATCGCTTTGTCTCTGAAAATCCTTTGCAAGGTCGCTTCTTACGGTGATTAGGRTTTCCCTGGAAGTATGTTTTTACTATGTTCCAGGGGGAAGTTGTCAATGATTTCCACCGTTTTACCTCTTGAAAAGATGTTTCCTGATTGGACTGGCAATTAACCAATCCGTGGCCGGTAATAATTAACAAGCTGTGAAACGATTTGTCGASCGTTGCCTCGAAAACAGAAGGAATTGTGTCGATATTTGGGGTCAAAAATACTGATAATTTTGGGGAGATGATTTAGAAATCCGGCTCCAAAAAGATTATTCCTTGTTGATGATATTTACTTAAATCACAGTGAATACCTTCTCGTATTAATGGTCTCTAGGTGTGAAAGTCCGCCTCTCAAACCAGTATCGTACGTCCAATAGTACGATTTTGTCGCTTACGATGTGACGTCCTCGATACACCTTAAGTGTTGGTTTTATTATAAATTTATTTGTTCATACGTCCTTCATAGTCATTAACAAGAACAATCGCCGCACGTTTATTGCTGCGAACTATCTGTTGATAAAGACCATAGCGTTTTGATGAAAGTTACAGTTTGTATAACGGTAACACTATTTTTCTCCTGAAAAAGCTTTCYTAGCGTTCCGCTCCAACCATCTTTCGATTTTAGCTCTCAGGAATTCATATTCCTCGTCTCTATTTTTAGGTAGAATATTTAACAACTTGATGAAAAGTTAATGAAAGTGCGTCAATGTTACAGATGTCATTGATGTATTTTCTTCAACAACAAAGTCATGTTGTAAGTAAATGTTTTTGAACAATATTTGTGTATTCAGAAGAGAGTCGAGGCTTGGTGAAGATATCGTGCAAAAATGATCATTTTCGGCCATTTATCGCAGTAGATAGCTTAGTTTTGTCCACTTGATTGCATATCTCTGGCTTTATGCAAAATACAAGTACTATGGGTCAACGATATTCCACACGTAACATTTAGGTATCAYGCGATTTATTCCTCCGCCCCTTTTCAAACAGCTTAAAAAAACTCTTCTTTTTTACTGGAATGTTTTCTTTAAACAAACTACCTTCACTGRTTTTTTAAAGGACTGTTGTATTTTTAGATAGGAATAGGCTTATACCTGAAGTGATTATCCCATCATAAACCGTTTTTAAAGAAAGAATTCCTGGTTTCATTATCAAATTCATGAGTAGCCCACGTACGCTCGCTGAACGATAAGGACAATGATAATTGAATTAGCCTGCGTTTTTAACAATTTTGATATCGTCTCTTTAAAGAAAGTTCAGTAAGATTCTGATGTCTAAAAGTTTAAGATAGTAATAATAATGTATGATAATTATTGTAATAATGACAAATTATGATGATGATTATGAAATATTAAAGTCCGTCAGCTCGAAGAAGACAAGCAAAGAACGTGGAAACGGCGTCGAAAAAACCCATGCATTTTCAGAAACCCAAAAATACGAAATAACTGAAAATAACAACGAAATAACGAAATAACAATTGACACAAGAATAATACTAGTTGATTGATGACAATTCGATCAAAAATCCCTGTCCGTTCGTTTGAACATTTGATGTGGGATGACAAACGTAACAAGCTCAATGATTTGCGCATKATCAGATCATCAAATCAGTGGACAAGAAAAAATATTCTCTGACATTAGCTCAACACCTTGAGCAATAGAAATTTAAGTGCTGTTTTGATTCATAACGAGTAGAGATTGAAATCACCCTGCTATTTATAATGCACACTTGAGCAATGTCAGAACAGAGATTTTATCACTGAAACAAGGAAAATATTGATTGATATTGTCTTACGATATTCATCTATCGTTTGGAAAAGGTCGCTGGAGTTGAAAGGMATTATGGGAAGAGGAGCTGTTCATGGACCTTTTCGATGTTTTCACTTGAATTTAGACTGGAAAACGATTTTTTTAAATTCCTTTTTTATCGAATAAAGAAAATGAAAATGGTATGAAAAGTAAATATAACATGACAAAATGGGATCGTAAATAATTAAAAACGTTGATTAAAACAAAAAAACGTTGTTATAAGCACATATGATAATACAATCAGATAGTATAATTTATAAGTGTAACTTGACTTAATGTAATGGCGGCTTCGGCAGGAATTTTTTTCGTTTATTACTGAATCTTCAATAAGAAAAAAAAATCATAATGACTCCAGTCCAAAAAAAGATTTTTTTCGTCTTTATTTATATACTTTGGYATCTTTTACTGCAATAATACTGTTCTCATTATTATCAATACCAAWATTAACAAAGTGCTATTCAAATACATTGGTCAACAGGTTTTCTACAGAGACTGGGATTTCGAAATCAGATTGAATGGTCACCACATGTGCACTGTGAAGATTCTAAACAATTGTGCAATTATACTCAAGATGTAGTGCTGTGGCATAGCGAAACGTGATACACTAGAAAAGGTATTTTAAAGATATTTTAAAAATAGATGCTAGGGTGACCTATAGATATATATTAACCTTAGTGCCTAAAATAGACTCAAATGAAGAGATTACAATATGATGGGCATGGATGTTACTCAGATGAAGGCAAAGTATTTTGACCAGTAGRATAATGGAGCAAATRAGCCTTTTTCTCGATAACGACTTACATTACACTCACTATCAGATCTCTCTTTAGTTTACGTTGCAAGCATTTTTGTAGCAATCAATTACGAAGCAATTAATAACATTTGCAAATGAGCTTTTGTTATTGCTGCTGTACTGAGATTTTGTTGTYATTCTACTGAATTCAAGAAGGAAATGTCATTATAAACCTAAATACGTCGTGAAAGTACATGAGCGTTACAAATGAGAATTAGGGGTRGGGTGGGGTGTATTTTTTCGTATTGAGGCTCAGTAGAATAATGTTGAACAGTTATAACACTTTTTTCTTTTTTCTTTTTTCTTTCGGTCGCCATCTTTAGTTTAAAGCATCCAAATTTGCTAYGTTTTCCCATATTTTATGATAATTTTATTATAGAAACTTTATTATTTCAGCTGTTTTGTGTTTAAAGYTACAAAGCAACGGTTGTTTTATCAATCCTTCCAATAAAGGCTATCTTTTCATATCGCTTCCGCCATGCGTTTTCTGCAATTAACGTTTGCTGCACGCTAGGAAACGTAGGTCAATTCATTGTTAATTGGAGTTGGTTATTGGAAAGGAAATACCTCGTTTTGTTAACAAATTGCACGTGCAAGGAACAGGATGCAGACGAAGCACCTTGGAACGTCTTGTCATAGTGAAACACGAGCCTCTTGGGAAAATCACATTGAGTGGATCCGTCCGTTTGCAAATTCCTTTCAATCTGTTGCTGTTTTTTGATAAAATAAAGGTATATCATGATCACTTGCAGCACGAATTCAAAAGCAACAGTGCGAAAGTGTGTTTTTTTTAATGAACGTATCAGCTGATGATTGCGGGCTGTTGGAGCAAGTAAATATCAATTTTAAGGTCGGTGCTATGTAGATAGGTCTTTCCCCTTTTCACTGYTTTGTATGTATGTATCATTAGGGCACGTTAACACTCGCGAGAGAGCTAATCAATCGTGTCTTCGCAACTAGTAAAAAATCTAGTTTCTATTGGAAAATCGCCCGAGAAAAATCGCCGTAAAAATTGCCAGTGCGTACAGGTCTGTTTGATGGTTATTAGTAAAGATTGACAATCTAGGGTGGTATTTATCAGTATGTAAAGGAGCTAGAGACATCATTTTAACGGCTGATATTGCCGCGGCCTATTGTTCTTTTGCCTACTTCTTATCATTTATTAACATGAACGTTGCACTAAGTCTTCCTTCCTTTGATACTGTACGCTTAATTCGAGAAAGACATTTATCCGAGAAAAGGCTAAAGTTGAACTCATTTATTCAAGTTCCTTTTTTTATAATCAAATAAAACTAAAATATTATAGTGCTAAAATGGTAGTTCAACGTAAAAACATTTGTTTCCATTCGAACAAGTTAGGAATTTGACGTTGCGTGCGTAAAACCACACCGTGTGCTATTTTACTTATCCCAAAGTTTCCATTAGAGCACGTTCCGCGCGCAACCGAGTAGCAAATCCAGACCGATTAGTGAAACGACTGGTATAAAAGCATAATTGTATCTCCTTCCCTTTGCTATAAATTCATGCKCGCAATTGATAAACAAGCTATATTAGTAGGCTTACGAGAAAACACTTCAAATACAAGCAAGGAAGGAACTAATTGTAACGAAGAACGTGCAAAGCCACTGATCCGGAYTTCCTTGCGAACCTTTTCCTTTTCGGATTAAGGACGGGCAAAAACATGATTACAGAATAAAAACAACACACTTCGTGGGTGAAGAAGTGATATCTGTATGGTGCATTCTCTAGCCTGTGTACATTCGTTCAAATTTTCCTCGTAGGGGGAGGGGTGGGAAAGGATGTTATGCATTCTCCGGCTCGGTCGTTTGATTTCTTTGTAGAGKTTTTCGACATTGATAAAACCAAATCAACCAATTGGGGCTAAATCAATAAGGGAATTATATAAGGGAGATTAGTTTGCGTCTACAGGATATAAATTCGTCCTGATGTTCGGAATGAGTTTGCATTTTTTTCGTGAAAAGTGGGAACAAGCTGTTTGTCAGTGCGCGTCCCGGATTGTCCAAGAAGCTGATAACACATTTTTCCGTCATAAAGAAAGACCTGTTGGGATGCCTGTGAGATTGCACAGGAATCCCAATAGATACTGCGACCTTAACGATCAAAAATGGTCGACATGGTCGGTTTTGTGTCCGATTTTCGTAGAAGGAGGTTCGTTTTGAAGGGRGTCTGACCGGAAAAATCCTGATCTGCCATTTTCAAGTGGTCTGTCAAAAATGCTCTTTGTTAGATTTCGAGGATTGTCATTGYTGTCTATTTTAACAGACTTCAAATCCTATTAAGTTGTAAGCTATAAGATCTTGTGTTAATTCCTTTCGTGAGCTCGTGAAGAAATAGAACAGGGGCGAATCCAGGTCGTGCCCATGCTCAACACTAGCCTAACGACGCAAATTTTGATTCATTACATGGGCTTCCGAAGGAAGTCCATGTCATAAATTACAAACAAAAGTAGGCCAGTACTTCATGTACCACAAAATGAATAGGCACCATCAGTAATATGTAGATTGCTGTCTTAGGTAGGATCTTACATGAAGTACTAGCCTTTCATTGGTCATNGTTAGATTTCGAGGATTGTCATTGCTGTCTATTTTAACAGACTTCAAATCCTATTAAGTTGTAAGCTATAAGATCTTGTGTTAATTCCTTTCGTGAGCTCGTGAAGAAATAGAACAGGGGCGAATCCAGGTCGTGCCCATGCTCAACACTAGCCTAACGACGCAAATTTTGATTCGTTTTGAAGCAATAAAATACCTGGTATAACATCATCAATCAGACAATCAACTGTTCGCCCGTCTCTCCTCAAGAGACATTTAAGCTGTCCTTCTATTTGAATGACTTTTAACCATTATTTATAGTTWATTTCCTTTTTATCAGTTGTATTAGAGATTAATTGTACTTTACGTATATATATGTCTTCATATACAAAATATTGGATAACATTTTGTTCCAAGAAATATTTTTTCAGTAACGGTGTATATTTCTTCATTTGGAACAACCACGTTYGGCTGGGTTGCCTGTGCTCCTAGAAACAGGTAGTCCACCATCTGAGAAGCTAAGAAAGACATGTGCACATTCCTTTTAGTGACGCACGTGTGTTCCTAAAACTACAAATATTCTGTTAAGGCGTGTTTACACTAGCGATTCTTTCTGCGATTTGGGGTGCGAGTTTGCAGCGATATGGCCTCGAAATCGCTATTCAATTCGAACATGTTCGAAACTGATCACTCTTTATTCAACCTCTAATCAGCGACCACCTCATATTAAACGGCCAGTTTGAAAATCATTCTAGAGGATGACCGGTTAATAGTAGTGTCACTATATAACTATACCGCGSGAACATCTGAACCATCAGAACACACCAATAATAAAATATTATTTATTAATATTCAATCACGATGTAGTATAACCTCGTGGTAGAGTGAGCGCACCAAATCCGTGAAATAAATATTGCATCTTAGTATTTTTTTTTTTCCCTATTGTATTTTTTGTTTCACGGGTTTAAGATGACCTCACCCTAATTTCATAGCAATCGATCACATTTTACAACTGACTTTGTCGATATTTTCATAAATAAATCGCATATTGCAATGTAGTTTCTTAAAACTTGAAACGGTGATGATCTATATACAGTACTTGTATYCGAGTATTGGGTAAAGGATGTTGATTTGGTTAGGGATCCCTGTGTCAATGTGGCCGAGAAAAATACTGGAGACGAGAAGGATTCCATCAGTCARAACTGACTGACCAAAAAACGATTGTATGTCTACAAAATGATAATGTAGATAATGTATGTGATATAAAAACTAAAACTAGATAGAAAGAAAACGATGCATAAATTATACTRACCCAGTCCCAGACCCTCTCTTTGGCAACTGGTCAACGGAGAGGGCAAAAAGGAGTCTGGGATGGACTCTAAAATTATACTACAATACTACTCTTAACTAGACGAGTGAATCTCGAATACCGTCGTTATCAATATGAATATCTTCTACTCTTTTTACATCAGTTCTTTTAGATTCATCTGGAGGGTCTTCACTAGGCGCCTCGGTTATAGAAATAGTTTCACTTAAATTATTCGTCTCCTCTGATGGATTGTCTTGCGATGATTCTTCGTCAGTGATATCTAAAGATTTAGTCGTTCTATCACATGACTCAAGAGAGTTTTCCGTAGAAATTGCTATATTATTTTGACTATGACATGCTTCCAAGTCTCGTGTCCTGTTTTCCCGTACTTCCTCATACTTCAATTCCGGGTGATATCTCACTTCCGGTTCATATTTTACTTCCGGTCCATATTTTACTTCCGGTCCATATGCTCCTTCAATTTCAGGATTTATTTGCTGATTATTTACTTCCGGTGTTGGAGTAGTTCTATGTAAAATGTGTCCATTTGTAAACGTCTCCATGTTATGGACAGTTTGATGTCCTTTGCATGTACCATTCATCATAACTCCATTAGTTCCATGTGCAAATGTTGCTGCTTTGGCATATTGCAGGTAACGATGCTTAACTATCTGAACATAACACCATATAATTGCTACAATAAGAAGGGTAAAGAGGGCCACCGGGACGGCTATGACTGCAGCGAGGGGGATTTCAACACCCCCTAATACATACGGAGGCTCCGATGTGTTCTTGGTGAATCCCTGGACTTTTGTTAAATCGACTGTAGCTAAAAAGGAAAAAATATATATTTTTTAAGTCTTCTGAAGCATAAAATGGAATATAGAGAGAGGGGAAATGGCGACAAGACTATCGGCTTCTTGTCGTGATGTTTAGGCAATGGATTCCTAGGAGCCGTCGCTTGGTATTTGTAKCCAGCAYACTSTGACTCACTGAATGTTCTAGYACTTAAGCTGCGCTCCTCCAAGGTATTTGGAAAACTATCGTATCCGAATGAGCAAAGAAGAAAACTTATATAATGACACATGCCGTCCGAGACCGCGGCGAATAGAATCATCAATGGTGCCACAAGTAAAATCATACATGAAGTACTTACGTTTGAGTTGTCGCACTTTCAAAAACACATGCGCCGAAACAATCTTACGCCCATCGTGACCCACAAAGCAGGTGTACTGTCCCTGGTCAGACTTAGAAACATTTAATATCTTGAGTTTCTGTATGTATGAAGTTCCCCCAAGAACAGTTCTGCTCATTTCTTGAAAGCGAATGTTTGGTGAAGATGATGAATTCAAAATCTTGTGGAGTTTGGAGTCATGAAACGAAATCCATACCCAAGCAAACTGTGGTTTCTTGTTGCCGAGAGCAGCGCAAGTGAAAGAMACTGATTCTCCTTCTACGGCTGTTGCGTTTTTAAGAAGATTTTCTTGAATAACCGGTTGTCCTGTAGTTTTGGGAGGCTCGTCATCTTAGAGAGAGAAAGAGGCTGTGATTTAGTGCATGGAACACAACAACTATGTAAAGCTACTATAAATAGTTTAGTCTATTTTAAACAACTAACCAATAGACCAGATAGTATAGTTGAGAAAGCTTAAAAGCTTATTATTTTTTTAGTAACGTCGYTAAAATTTCAGAGATTTCAGAGTCCTCAGAGATTGCGCTTTATATGTGACATCTTTGAAATGCTGAAAAGGTGTCAACAACACTTGAAAAAAGACAACTGTTTCATACATGGACCTAATCGGCTAACGCGTTGCTACAAACGTTTCTACCCAATTCAAACCACACGGGAGTAAGTTTCATTGTTAGTTGTATTTTCATTTMASAGTTGAATTCTTWGAAACAAAAGTTCTTWTYCCCACAGGATTTGAATTGGGTGGYAACGTWMATAGCAACGCSGTTAGCCGATTAGGTCTATTCGACAAGTGTGAKCGCTACATAAKTAMACAACATATAGCTATTTCAAAGAAMGTTGTCGAAGAGATCGCAGAATGCACGACCGCAAGGCATTGTGAGAATTSAATATAATTAATGCCCATAGCAACTCTCYAGCGTGCATTTTCCGACCTCTCCGATAACCGTCTTTGAAAGAGCTAGTACTACCTTGGTATTCTTTACCTAAGACTTGTACGTAGAATGTCCTGGTTACATTACAAAAGTGATTCCACACAAAGCATCTATAAATGGCRCTGTCTTTATGCTTTAGTCTTTTAATAGTCAGGTCCCACGTTGTTAACTTGAATCGGTTTTTGGATCTCTTGATGGGTCGTCTACCTTTGAACCAGGTTACTTGGGGTCGCGGGCTTCCTTTGGCTTGGCAGGACAGTGTGAGTTCTTCTCCCTTTAGCTTTTTTATGGCGTGGTGTGATGTCTGCTTGAATCGGAATCGAGGGCATCTACCTGCAGCTGTTATGGTAAATTGGTAGGTTGTTAGAAATACTACTTACAATAATAGCTATTGAATTTTAGATGCTGTACTGATTTTGATGATAAAGATGATGATGATGGTCATGATGATGATGGTCATGATGATGATGATGATAAAGATGATGATGATGATGATGATGATGAAGATGATGATGATGATG